CTATACTAATTCAAGAAATATGGAGTCACAAGTACATGAGCGAACTAGAATACCATAAATACAGTTTGAAACAAAATACAACTATTTGAAAGAAAATAAACAGTAAATCTAGATAAGGAAGGGGACTTCAGGAACTTTGAATGTCGTGCAGCTCTACCTCAAGTCGCCAGATACAGATATGATCTGAGCAAAACCTCAGCTAGATGCCATTGGGACCAACACTAGAATCTGCACAAGAAGTGCAGATGAGTAGTATGAGTACAACCGACCCTATGTACTCTGTAAATGCCGAGCCTAACATCGACGAAGTAGTGACGAGACTATAACAAGGCACTCACTATAAACTTGTACGAATATAAATGAATAATAGCAGAACAAAGAAAAAACATATTTACATGAAGATCGGAACAGAAAATACATAACAGAGGGCCCCAGAATAACATTTATGCTCAACTTTTCAATACAACAGTAACACGGAACCAACGGTTAAGAAAAATCAATATATCTTCTCCATTGCGACGTGCAACCCGTTCCACAATACACACACACACAAAAACAAACAAATACCATTGCAGCATGCAATCGATCCCAAATAATAATACCAATATCCGTTGTAACGTGCAACTCGATCCCAAACAATAATAACAATATCCGTTGCGGCGTGCAACCCGATCCCAAACAATACAATAATGAATGTACTAACTACAACGTATTTCACAACGAAACGCAATAAGAAAATTACATAATTAAAGACATAAAAAGGATAAAATGACTAAATAATAACAGACAGAGTCATAAAGCAAGTAACGACAATCAATAAATAAATGCACGGATGCATGGAAACATATAGCAAAATTAACGCATGTAACGAATAAATGCATGAATTTACAATTAAGGACAAGTGACATTTAAGCATTTAACACGTAATAACATGGATTAAATGAAGACATAAAATAATTGAAGACAACAAATAAACATCCCAATCCGCATGCTTAACACATTTCTACGTATATATACTCATCACCTTGCATGTACATCATCACCACACATAAATCAAGTAACAAATAAACCAATAAAGTCCTAATTCCCTCAAGCCAATATTAACCATGACATTTACCTCTTTCTGCAATCAAATGAATGATCAATCATGGCTTTTCCTTTAGAATAATCCTCCAAACCAATCGAATATAGCCAAATATAGTTCAAATAAGTCAAAACAAGCTTTACAAGCTACCCACGCGTAAAAAGGGTTCAATATATAACTAAATTGAAAAAGTAAACAAAAGTCAACCCCGGGCTCATTTGGTCAAATTTTGAAATTCGGACCAAATTCCAATTATTCATTCACCCCCGAGCCCGGTTATGTAGTTTGTTTCATAATCCGACCTCAATTCAAGGTCTAAATCCCAATTGTTTCTTATTCATAAATTATAAATCACTTAATTTAAAGTTAGAAATCACTGGATAATTAAGAAAATACATCAAAGTTAGTTGAAAAGCACTTACCAATGAAGTTGCGATGAAAATATCATCAAAAACCTCTCTAGTCCGAGCTCCAGGTTTCAAAAATGATAAAAACAATGAATTACCAACTTAGATCTATTCTATAATATTATTTAATATTCTATTAGGTGATTACTTTTTATTTTATATAGCTGTAAAAGCTTCCTTTTTCTTTCACTTACTGACGTTTTGTCCAACCCTGCCTTTTTCTTTATTTTATTTAACTACGCGTCAAGTGTTCATCGTGTTCGCGAAGCACCTGTCGCGTTCGCGGAGCACACAGGCCCGTTGTACTTCATGATCGCGAGGTCTTCATCGCATTCGCAAAGGCATTTTCCCGCCAAGCCTCTGTGTTTGCGTCCCATATGTCACGTTCACGATGAAGGACCACTTGTCTTCCCCAAACTTTTCCCCAACACTATGCGTTCGTGTGTGGTCTGCCACGTTCGCAAAAGGTCAGACCCTTCAAGCCTTTGCATTCGCGATCCTACCATCGCGTTCACGTAGAACAACCAGCGCCACAGTTCCTATTTGCGATCGCGGTAGTGTCTTCGCTATTGTGAAGCACTAATATACCATTAAAAAACCAACAACTCAATAAGTCCAAATATGGTTCGAAATCAATCTAAAACTCACTCGAGTCCCCTGAGCTCCAATCCGAACATGCACACAAGTTTAATAACATAATATAAACTCGCTCGCTAACTCAAATCATCAAAATAATATCAAATAATAAGAATCGATCATCATATCTCAAAATTTCAACTTAAAAACTCATTTTTAACAATCTTACACATAATGCGCCGAAACACGCTCGAGTCATCCCAGACTCTAACCAAATGTGCGTACAAGTCCAAAAGTATCATACAAACCTATCAAAAGCGTCAAAACACCAATCCGAGATCATTTACCACACACATTGACCGTGGTCAGCTCTAGTTATTTTTAAAGTCAAGAATCACATTTTCTTTGAAATTTCACGTAAAAACTTTTCGAAAAATGATATGGACCATGCACACAAGTCATATAACATCAAATGAAACTATTAGAGGTTTCGGAGCAAATAAAGTCTAGTACTCAATACGACCTATCGGGTCATCTCATTCTCCAACTCTAAAAGAAATATTCGTCCTCGAACGGACATAGAATAGTACGTAGACTGATAAAAAGGTGTGGGAATCTACTCCGCATATCAGACTCGGACCTCCACATAGACTCCGCAATTGCATGACCTCTCCATAGGTTAAATTCTCATAAAGTTGGACCATGCTGAAGTCTATAACATGTGACATGTCTTCATGCTACTTCCAAAGTATGAAAACATAAAATACCGGATGTACCCCTATTAGGCTAGGAGACAATGCAAGCCTATAAGCAATCTTCCCCAACTCTCTCCAAAATCTCGAATTGGAAATTCATTCTTTTTGCTCCAAAATTTTATCTTCACTGTCCAATATACATACATTATCAATAAAACCCATGCAAGTCTAAATCTCAATACTCAAGCTAAGTTGGGCATATACAATTAAAAAATAATTAAAAAGAGAATAAAATATAAAGTAAATAATATCAAAATATATAAAAATATGCCCAACATCAAGGTCCTAATTTTCTTAAAGTCGATTTTTGTTATATGATAATGGATAGGAGTACTTAATTGGTAATACTTAAGTTAAATGGAAGTTAATAATGGATATTTTAAAAGGCGCGGACGTAAGACGAGTCGTTTTAAATATGCCTCAGCAAGGCATAAGCCCCGAGGCACGGGGCATAAACCCATAGGTATTTAATTTTTAATATTTTATAAAATAATATAATTACAATAAATATTGATAAATAGGTAAAATTGCATAAAATTTGAAGAAAACTATAAATATGTGAAAAATATATATAGATGTGCTCCATCCTCACAAAAAACTAGTCAAAGTAATCTATTATACGCTACTTACAAGCACAAGTAACTTGAGTCGAAAAGAATAAAGTTTTATACATGAAGAAACAAAAAGGATGACTAACGTGCAATTTGAACTTTGAACTTGCTCCTATGAAGGAGAATGGAGTTCTATTTGTATTGGTAAAAAGAATTTAACTATTCGTTGCTTTTGGGAGATAGTGGCGAACAAGATAAAGAATTGGGAAAGACCATAAATTAGAGCTTCAATCAATAAAAAAAGTCTTGACTTTATATTTAATATTCTAGTTCCTTTTAAAACTTTTGAGTAATTACAAGCCGACATTTGAGAATTTGGGTAGTATATGAAAGACTTATTCAACAAATTTTATTTTAATTTGAAAAAGTCTCTGGAGCTTACCCCTCACTACAAAAACGCGCCTCAAATACCTGAGCGTACGCCCCGAATTGCTGGGGCTACGCTTCTTGAGACTTTCGTCCCACATCATCGCCTCAGACCATTTTTTATGCGTTTCGCCCCAGGGCTCGCCCCGAAAATGCCTTTTAAAACACTGGTGGATATGAGTACTTAACTGGTTTGATTAATATTTAAAAAATCAACTTAATTGGTTTGATTTTTTTAGGGAGGGGGGAGGGGGAGGGGAATTGACCCAAATCAAACCATGCCATTATTATTTTTTCTTCTATATATGTAGTAGGTATGATGGAGAAGGTATTAATCTTTTCTTTTTCTAGAGAAACTGTTTAATCAATTCCTATAGATTTAAGCTTTAGCTCTCAACCTCCTTGTTTATAGAATTAATTAAAATAAAAATTTATATTTTAAAGGGTGAATTTGTTAAACTATCATTTTTAATATTAATAATATATAGATTAAAAATAAATACTATAAAGAAATTAGAATAAAAAAAGGTAAGCCTAATATCCTAATGAGAGAGGCCAGTATTTTTAAAGCCAAATTTAAGAGAATGTTGCTAAAATTTTACTTAATAAATTTATATAAGCTTATTATGCAAAAAAAAAACTTTACACAGATGTGTAGTCTACTCTTATACTACACTGTCTACACTAGCAGTCTTATCATTCTTTGCAAGTATACGATTCATGGTGGAAAAAAGAAAAGTTAACAATTCACGTGGATCCTTAGTTATAATTGATGATGATTTTTCCCTGACCCGGTTGGACATAAGAATTTTTTCACCTTTCTTTTGAAACCTTTTCATTTTTTTTTCGAAATTAGTATTTGGTTATAAAATTTTAAATTTTCATTTGAAAATGGATTTAATGGATTTTGAAATTTTTCGAAAATTTTAAAAACTCCAAAATATTATTTTTCAAAATTTTCACTCATTTCAATCCCAAAATTTCAAAAGCAGCCTAAAATTATATTCATACCGAAACACAACTCTAATTTTCAAATACAATTTAAATTAAAAAAATCACTTTTTTTAAAAAAAAATTACAATTCTTATGTCCAAACGCCCACTTAATTGTTTTTTTAATTATTATTATTATTATTATAATATTATTATTTTGAAATTTAATTTCTTTATTTTATTGATCCTAAAACTTATCGCACATTTACACAAAATCATTCCATCACACAAAATCATTTCTAACGGTTAAGGATCGGAGTTCAACTTTTCCGATCAGAAAATGGAGGCGACTCCCTCTAATCCTACTCATAACATCATCTCCACCGCTCCCGCTGCCGCAATCAGTATGAACGCCTCCGTCGCCAGCCACCGCAATCCGCTAAGAGTTGACTGGCCGACGGTCGACGGACCACTGGGTTTAACAGAGCAAGACTCCGTCGATTACGCGCGTAGATTCTTCAATTTCGGGTTTTTACTCCTCCCTTGGCTTTGGGCTGTCAATTGCTTCTACTTTTGGCCTGTCCTTCGTCGGCCCAACTCCCATTATCAACCCGAGCTCCGTCGCTGTAAGTCCCAATTGATTTATCGATTATGAACTCTATGTGATTGAAGTTAAGTTATATATATTGACAGTGTAATGGATTTGTTACACTGTGATTTAACCTGTTATAATGGGTGTCATTTATTCTAGTTTATCAATCGACATTTGTGAATATAGTTGCCTGCCATTGCCATTTAAAGTGATCTCCATTCTATAAATGTTTTTTACACTGTCCGTCCGTGCATAGAACTTAAACTCTTTTTCAAAAACCCATTTGATTAACCGTGATGTTAACATGCTTTCTCTAGCTGCTTTACTTCGTGAATTGTACTTGCTCAGTTCCGAAAAGAATGAAAGGGCTTACGAGTATTGTCACACCTCCTTTTTACACCCGCCGGGAGGAATATAAGGGAGTTTTTCCAATTAAAGTGACATTATTCGAAATGAGATTATTAATTTATCAGAGTCGCCACTTGGAATAGTTTATTTGGTGTCCCAAGTCACCGGTTTATTTTAAAATCCCAAATCGAGGAAATTTCGATTTTTATTTAAAGGTCTGCGAACCAGAAATTCTAGATAAGGAATTCTGTTAACCCAGGAGAAGGTGTTAGGCATTCCCGGGTTCCGTGGTTCTAGCACGGTCGCTTAGTGATTTATACTTGGCTTAAATTGTTTAACTACTTATTTTTAGGACCTATGTGCATTTACCTTTTTAACCGCTTTTAGTCACTTGAATTATTCGTAATTAAAGAATTGAGTTACACGTACGTATACTCTTTTCTTTTGACGCGTCGAAATCATGTCACGCGAACGTGTCCACGATTAATAACGTTTTTTGTTGATTTATTAGGAAAGTTTGGTTGAAGTTGCGCGAACGCATCCTTCGAGTCTTTTAGAGTTAAATTTGCAATTATATTACGCGAACATATATATATAATCGCAATACTAATCTAAATTGGACCTAAAGCAAACTACGATGGTTCAAATTAATAAGAGGTTTGCGAGGGCCATGGAAAATTTAATAATGGCACACCTCGATCTTAAAGAGTTATCACTAATTATACGAGGGCCATGGGTTATCTACTTTTGCTTATGGCACACCTCGAATCTAATTTTTTTAGAAAGGGTTAATTAATTAAAGAAGGCTTAAAGGGATTTGAAATTATTTTTAGGCTAATGTTCAAATTAGAATAACTAATGTTGAAGGAGGCCTAGTGTTTGGCTGAAAGGGCGTGGGCTAGCAGCTAGCCCAAATGTCTATTAGAGGCTGCCATATTAATGCAAAGGCAATGGGACGCGAGCACAAGCCCAAAGGAGTTGCAAGGCTGCATATATCCCTATTTTCAAAATGGCCTTAAGGTCCAGGCCCAAAGGGAGCCCAAACCTTGCGAAAAACTAAAGCTGAAGAAACAGGGACTCAAGATCGAGTCTACACCAAAACATAACTGACATTTTACATTCAAAAATACCAAATCAGCCTAATGGACTTTCATCAATACACAGCAGCTTGAAAACTTTAAACGCTATTAGCTCACATTACACTCCCAAAAGCAGCATAATCTCGAATTCAATTGCAATGATAATAAAACTGTCAGGTGTTCATACTTAAATTCAATTCCAGGCTAACTCATAAATAAACATATGAAACTTAATCTCAACTAGACCCTTTTCTGAGTACAAACAGTAGCAAACCCAAGAGATTAACATGCCAATAACTTGAATCTAAGAAACACACCAAACTTTCAGCAGAACCAAACAAAAGCCAACATTGATTTAATTTACACCATATCGATAACATGAGAAAAGCTAAAATAACATGCATAAGATTAGATTACTACAAAACATGAAAGAACTGGAAGAGGCAGGGAAACAAGGTTCGGCTAAAACAAATGGTCTTCATTATGTATCCTCATTCCAGTTGCACCTTACATCTCATGTATTGGCCAAGGTTTGAAGAATACTTGGAAGACAAGAGGAAAATAAAGAGAATGAAGAATCAGCAGCAACAGCAGGTCAGCTCAGCAATTCGAGCAAAAATCAGCTTCTTTCAATAGTCTAGAACCCAGATTAGAATAAGTTTTTGGAGCTTTTTGAAAGTTCTGATTAACAATGAAACAAGGAGCAAAACCAAGCAGATTTCTACTACAAAATGCAGACAGTGTTCAGTGTTTTCAGGGTATCAAAGAACTCAGCCGTTTCTGAAACTTTTGGGTTTTTTAATCTCTAAAAAATCTCTCTTGAAAGAGAAGGGAAACAAGCCTCTTATAGAGGACAATTGTTTCTGTTATTTGCTGATTACCCATTCTCTAATTTTCAAATTGTTCGCTTTTACCCTGAATTTTGGTCTTGTTAGCTAGGTCAGTCCCTTTCCCCACCTTCCAGGAAATTTCCAAATCAGTTACACCAGATTCCCCTTAACTAAAATCCCTAAACTAACCTTTAAGCTTCTGCTATTTACCCTTAGAACCAGAGATGAGTCAAGTTTGACCCAAGACTTAAACATGCCTCTTGAAGTGGGTCAAAGATGGTCTCAAAGCCCAATCAACAAACTGACCCAAATCACAGAATCAATTATAGTAATTTGTGAAAAGCAGAAGAAGAAACAACTTAAATGATTTCAAAACCAAAACCTAACTAAATGACTGATTTTCTTTTAAACTAACAAATAAGCTAGAATTAACTTCATTACCAAGTCGAAACAAACCTAATTAAACTAACTATAAGACTAAAACAAGAAGGACAAAAATCAGAAACTTAACATGACATGAATAACAGCTAAGCAGGCAAATGAATAACTCAAACAAAATCAACGAACAACTTTTAAAAGTTGAAAAGAAAACTGGAAAACAAATGGAACAAATTCGACCACAAACCAATCCAAAGGGAAAAACCTAGGTTTGAACCTTTATTAATTTCCAGTCAGAATAAAAAAAAACTACTTAAAGAAGAGGAGAAGAAAAGAAGAGGAATAGGAGGTGAAACAACAGAAACGGACAGAAAAATGAAAGAAAATTTACCTCATTAACTTGAAACCAACATTGGACGCTCCGATTTAACAAAAACCAATGCTAATCACTTGTTCTTTGTCAAGAACAAGCGAACATCATTAATTTTGTGTTATATCAGACTTCTGAAACTCGAAAACTCGGAGGTCTAGGTCTTGCATGCCACAGATTCAAGGGTAAGGCGATTTGGGGTTTAGGGCTTCAACCTTAGATTCAAGATTCGAAAAGATGTAGAGGGATTCGAGGGAAGTGGTTTTGGGTGATGGAAAGAGGACGGGCTAGGGGTTATATGGTGTAGTTTTGAGGCGGATTAGAGGTGGCGCCGCCACCAGAGAGAGTGAGGATTTTAGGGCGGCGTTCTAGGGTTCTTCAGGTCTCTGAAGGTTAGAGAGGACGAGTGAAGAAATGAAACGAGGGGGGGTTAAGGCTATTCGAACAGTTAAATATATTTAGGTAAGCCAGTTCCCAGCCGTTCGATTAGTGAAGATCAACGGTTGGGATCATAGACCTCAACACGACGTCGTTTGGCTAATTGAATGGGATGGACCGGGTATGGGGTGATTTGGGCCTGGACTTGAACGGGTTTCAGGGGATTTGATCATTTGGGCTAATACAAATTGGCCCAAATCACAACAATTCTTTTGATTTTCTTCCTTTCTTTTTCTAATTCCAATTTCCTTTTCTTTTCAAATAAAAAATAAAAACCTAAATTAATTCTTAACTAAATTAACCTGCCAAATTAGATTAATTACTAGTCATAGTCTTTACAAAAATTAAATAACTCCTAAATTAAAAGAAAAACTATAAAATGTAAAATCAAAAGTAAAAATACAAAATGGGTTTTTTTTTGTGATTTTTTCATTTTTTGTAAAACAACTAATTTACTAATTAACCTAAAAATGTAAAAATAAATTCTAAATGCAAATGTAATGTATTTTTGTATTTTTCATGAATTAAATAAAATTAAACATTAAACATGCACAGAAAAATGCAAATAATTAGAAAAAATTCTACAATAATTCCTAAAATAACAAACAATTAAAAAAAAATCTAATTCTTTGGGTTTCTGTAGGAGTAATTCATGTGGGACAAAAATCACGTGCTCACAAGTATAAGGGCCAGCACATCTAATTTTGTGAAATAGGACATGATTTCTTAGGTGTTGTTCAATCAAAATGTACATATTCCAAAAATACTTAAAAAGTTCTGTAGATCAAAATTCATAGGTAAAAAGAATTTGAAAAATGTTTGAAACAATGTAGTTAGAGAAACATTGTTTGACTTTGCAAGTAAAATTTTCCAAATTAATTGGGACAGAAAGAGAACTTATTTGCTTACACTGTTTTGATGAGTGTGTACTCATAGGCGAATCCATGACTTAAACTTGATGACTAGTAATAAGATTATGAGTCCAAATATAATATTCGTTGAAATTTTGATGGGTTTTTATCTATGCTCCGCATTAAAGTATTGGGTTCGGATGAGCTAGGTTCTTATGAGCTGTGTGTACTATTTGCTTTTGGAGGGGAAGGGACTAATTTGGCCAGCTTCGGCATTAAGTTACTGAAAGGAAACACATCCTGTTTTGTTTTTTGTTTTTGTTTTTGCTTTGCGCTTGCTAAGCTTGAACTGATAGTTGTGTGGATCAGTGCTGAGATAGTGAAGACAAATCTTACCCCGTCCGGATCACAATTTGAATCTTTTCATGTTCTGTTAATTCCTGCTTCTATTTTTTGTGTCTTGAATTGCAAGTTTTATCGAATCTTTCACTTTGTTCTCAGATTAGTATTATCTGAGAAAATGAACTGATGAATGTTAATTTCTATTGAGAAACAGTTTGGCTAGTTGTCCAATAGTCTGGTGTGGTGGATATGTGATAGTGTTGTGTTGATATGGTACTTGTTGAAATGCATTATTGAGGCAATAGATGCTTAGATGGTCCAAATTTGAGTTAAACGCCTACAGCTCAATAGATTTAGGAAGCTTGTTGAACAGGGTGAAAAGTTGACAACCTATGAGG